TGCAGGATGGCAGCACTTGGGGACCCTCTCGCAGCCCATCCTGCAGGGGAACGGGTCCCCGGTCTGAACCACCCCTGGAGTGCACTGGGATGGAGATGGGAGCACAGGAATTCGGGGTGTTGGCGGGATCCCTTGCTCTGGGCTGGTCCCTCAGCCGGGGGCTGTGAGTCCTGGGACTGACCCCTGACCAACCCACCCCCTCCTGTGCCCCTGCAGCTGGAGGGGTGGCAGGTCCTGGTGCTGGGGCTGGACGGGGCGGGGAAGAGCAGCATCCTGCACTACATCTGCAGCCGGACAGCCCGGGAGCACATGGCACCCACCCGCGGCTTCAACTCTGCCCAGCTCTGCATCGAGGGGCTGGAGATGGACCTGCTGGAGGGTAAGGCTGGCCTGGCCCCCGTGTGTCCCCGGGGGCTAAGCCTGTATGGTCTGGAGGGTCCCTCCACCCACTGACACCAGGCTGAGGGTGCAGAGCATCCCAGGCAGTGAGAGTATCCCAGGGGATGGGAGGTCTGGTTACCTGGGGTAAAAGGGGAGACAGCAGCCATGCTTGTCCCCACACCAGTCCCTCATCCTGCCTGTCTCCTGCAGTGGGTGGCAGCCAGAACCTGCGATCCTACTGGCCCCTCTACCTGGGCCAGGCCCACGTGCTGGTGTTCGTGGTGGACTCGGTGGACAGGCCACGCCTGGGGACAGCGCGCCAGGAGCTGCACACGCTGCTGGCCACGGAGCCCCGGCTGCCCCTGGTTGTGCTGGGCAACAAGCAGGTGAGTGTCCCTCAGTTCTCACAGCTGTCCCCATGGCTGTTCCCGGTAAAACTTCTCCAGGGTCCTGAAGGGAAATCTGTATACCCAAAATCCACCAGCTCTTGCAAAATCTGATTTCTCGGGGCCAGTCTCCTCCAGTCTTCATCAGGGGCACAGCTGCTGCTACCAGTGCCCTGGCTAACAGGAGAGCACCCAGGCAGCACACAAAGTCCCCAAGGGGAAATACATTCCCCAGGCAGATGACCAAGCACATGCCTGGTGCTGCTTCCCATTAGCTGGCGCCAAAGCCATTCCTATGCGAGTGAGACTACCCTGCCCGTGCACAGTCCCTGCCAGGACCAGGCAGGCAGGACTGGGCTCCTGCCAGCCCACGGGAAGGATCCCGGTCCCCTCCTGAGACGCCACCTCTCTCCCTGGTAGGACAAGAGCGACGCTCTGAGCATGGCAGAGCTGTGGGAGGAGCTGGCCCTGCACACGCTCAGCGAGCAGCGAGAGGTCTTCCTCCTGCCCACCAGTGCGACCTGGGCCAGCCTGAGCACTGACACCAGCATCCTCCATGTGAAGAACCTGCTGGTCACCCTGCTCTCCCAGCCCTAACCCTGTGCAAGGACCAGACAGGCTCCCACCCCCAACATGCCTCCTCTTCGGGGTCTGTGGCACAAAGATGGAGGCAGCTGAGTGGCTGCAGCTGGAGCTCAGACTTGCTGGTAGCCAGCTGCCAGTTCTGGGGTGTTTGCTGCACCCCACGAGGTTTGGGGTTGAGCTACACCATGGCTGCCCCCAGGGAACAAAAGCAGCAGGCTCTGCTTTCCCTGCCCACATGGCATACACCAGTGGGAGTAACCAGCTCAGACTGTCCCTCATCAGGGCTGAGCACAGCTCTCAGCTCCCCAACTCTATTAAAAGCCATGTTTAGGAGAGATGAAGGCAGGTGTGGGGCAGCCTTGCACTGCCCCATCATCCTGAACCAACGGGCTGTTTGGCAGGAGCTGTGCTCAGCAGGCATTTGCCCCCCTGCCCAGTCTCCCTCCTTCTCAGCTGCCCCAGGGAGAAAGGGAAGGTGCCAGGATCTGCAGGATGCCTGTGGGCAGGAGACTGCTGGGTCAGCCCACAGGGTGCTGGGTCCTGGAAAACCGATCAGGGAAGCTGGGGAGCACACTGGGGAAAGGGAGTAGCACCAGCTGGTCTCTGCTGCAAAACCTTCTGTACAGTCACCCCTTCCCTTTGTCAATAAAAGAGGCTGATCACTCTGTGCTGCCCTCCATCTCCTTGGCAGGAGAAGGGCCCCCAACCCAGTCTTCTAAACTGGAGGCAGGAAGGTCACTGGGGGGGAAGGAAGCAGCACCTGGCCCTGCTCCAGCTTCTGCTTACAGAGAAATCAGCAATGACCCAAGTGCTGCCCACATCCTGTGGGCTCCCAGCCCCATTGCTGCAGAGGATGACCTGTGCCCAATGCCCATGGCCTGCAGGTCAGCAGCAGGAGGTGTGCAATGGGACTGAGCCAAGAAAGAGCCCATAAGCAAGAGATGGACACCAGCTTGAAAGAGGAATTTATTCTAACAAGGCAAAAGAAGTGCTGGCTTACCACACAGAAAGGGAGCAGCATAGCACAGCACATCCAGTCCCAACCAGCCACAGCCAAGAGTCTTTCATGCCTGGTTGTAACTGACTCTTGTCTAGTGAAGGTACTTCCTCCATCACCAGAGGCTTTGTGTTGCTCAACTGCAGGCACTGAGCCCATCAACAATTGTCACCTGTCTGTCAGTCCCCACTTGGTTCAGAAAATGGTCACATCATACCTGCACTTGCAGGCAAACCTAACAAAAAAGGTCAGTCACTGCACATCCATCTTTTCCTGCTTGAGTGATGAGATTAAATCCTTGTACTCCTCAGGATAGAAGTTTTTGTACACATTGATCTTTCTCTTAATCTGCTTGGGAGTATCCTGGTAGTAGTTCTTCTCATCCAGAGCCATTTCCTGTGACAAAGGAGAGGGTATGTCAGGAGTGGCCCCAAGAGCAAACACCAAACCAGCCCAGCAAAGCCCCACTCAGGGTGGCTGTGATTAGGGCCTGACTCAGACAGGGACCTGGCCAAGGTTCAAAGCGCTGCTTCCTGTTAACGATCAGCTGACTGTGAAACAGGTTCCAGCACAGAGAGGATTAGTGACTCCCATCCTGCAGAAGAGCCAGGAGTCAATAGCTCTGGGTGCTCCTCACTCTGGGTCAGCCAGTACTTACCTTGTAGTTCTCCCCGTGGTTCTGGATCATGTAGCGCACGTAGTCAATGAGGTCTCGTGAGAGAGTGTTTGACTTCTTCTCAGGGAGACTGGCCTCATATTCCATCTCTAGGCAGAGGACAGAGACACTGTGAGGCAGGGGAGGGAGGCAAAAGCACCTCAGAGGTCCCCAGCCTCCTCCCAAGATCAAACCCCACCAGTATTGCTGTAGATAGAAACACTGGGGGTTGGAGGAAGGCAGTACAGAAGGCAGTACAGAAGGGAAAAGGAAATTCAGGAGACACAGGATACGCTGGAATGGCAGAGCTGGACACTGCTAGGGGAGGTTCTTCTCTTCAAGCTTTCAAGCCTGGACAGGAATTAACAACCTTCCCTGGCACAGCACAGCAGCAAAGGACAGTCTGGTAGCATGGAAGATAAAATAACCCCATGGAGAGTTGGGAGAACCCTAAAAGCAATGGCAGGGCTGGAGGTGAAGGGCTGGCTGTGCACGACAGAGGACTGACCCGTCACCACGTAGGGCTTCCGCACGAGTCTCTTTCCTTGCCCTTGTCCACTGCTTTCCACTTCCATCCCCTGTGTTAAATGAGAGAGAAAGCAACTCAAGAAAAGCCCATTTGTATGAGAGCTGTGCTCCCAAACATTGCTCCCAAAACTCCAAACTGCATATTCAATGGCTGCAAGGACCAGGAGGTCTCAGCTGGCACAGACAGAGCTTTGTTTGCACTGTTAAGCTATCCAGTGGTTAAGACAGTCACTTAAGCAATACTGTGCCAATGGAAAAAAGTGGCATACAAGGTCACTCCTTTTTTTCATGAGTGGGGCCACCTTTCACCTGGGAGTGTTCCTCACCAACACAGGCAGCCAGGCTGGTGCTGGTGCACACAAAGAGGCTCTTTCTTATCAGCAGCAGCTCATCTGGAGTGTTCCCAACCCCACCTCTCTCTGGAAAGTCCCACAAGATTGATGTTATCTGTAAGTGCTCCAAAGCCTTTTATTTCCCTGTGACATAGCAGCTCGTTCCCACACCACGATCTTGGTGAGAAAAGTGGACCAACACCGATACGAAATTCACTGAGCTACAGATACTGACCCAGAGCCTGACCCGTGGCTCCAAGGCTGGCTGCTCTCCACAAGGGTTTTCTCCAGCCCGGCTGTGTGTGCTGGGGGAGTCTTACACTCCCCATGAAGGAGCAGCCCCAGCCGAGCCCCCCCAGCCCTTCCCCAGCAGCGCACAACCCACTTACCAGCATCTTCTTGGGGATGGGGACGGCCTTGTTGGGGTCCTCGGCCAGGCCCATCTCGGCCAGGTTCTGTGCCACGGACTTGGTGGGGTCCCAGGCATGGCGGATGTGCGAGCTGCGGGAGGGGCAGGCACCGGCATGAGGGGCAGCGATCACCGCCTCGC